TTGCCGCGATCCTCGGAACTACCTGAAACACATAACACATAACACGGTAAGCATAAAACTTAGTGAGTTCCCCAAAATACCACACACAACACATCTGCCACTCGAGGCTATAACTCAGTAAGACCCTCCGGTCAATGTGTCTCAGTGGGACCCTCTGGCCCCACAACTCAGATGGACCCTCTGGTCCCTCAACTCAGCAGCTCAATATAATATACAGTAAGCATATCACAAAACAAATAGCAGGATATCTCAATACACAGCTCATTCACATAAGACCCTCTGGTCACACATAAAATTACCACTCAAGGTAAGTATAGTTAGAAGACTCACCTCGTAAGCTAGCAAAAGGAAAACCTCGAACTCGGAATCTCGAACTCTACCCACCAGTCTAGCCTCCGCCTAGCACATAATAATTATCCCTAATTAATATTTGTCCTAAAGAAGCTATACTAACCCTTCTATGCTTACAGGAGGGTAAAAGACCATTTTACCCTCTATGGTCTCAATGTTCCTAACTGCCTTACTCTCAAGACACGGAAGTCAACATGAGTCAACCGCCAAAGTTGACCCGAATCGCCGAGTGCACTCGGGTGACTCGCTGAGTACACTCGTATCCTCTGAATTCTTCTAAGTGTCTCACACGGCTCGTCGAGTTAACCTCCCAACTCGACGGGTTACCAGTGGGTCACGAATCGCGGGGCAACCTGATCCGACTCGTCGAGTCATCGCATAAACTCGGCGAGTTGACTCGTCTGGATTTCTCATATGGACGTCTGAGGTCGGATCTGCAACTCCAACCTCTAGATCCGACCTCCTAATACCCAAAAGTCACGTAAAGGTCCGATCTTGATGACCATGCATGGCATCCATGCTCCAAAATGTCATCACAAGCTCCAAGAAAGGTTTCATGCATGGGGACCTGCCTCTAACTCGATAAAGCTCAAATCTTTGGACCCTTAAGGTCCCCTCTAGTCCAGATCTGAGGTTCTAAGCTCAAATCGTGCTCAAAAAGATCAAGAATACAACATGCTTGAGAGAAAACCCTAAAAACTCCCCAAAAATGAGATCTAACGAACAAGAGGCCAAGATGAGAGCTTTTTACCTCTGAATAGCAGCAAATGATAGAAGGATGCAAGATCCACAGCCTCCTCTTGGACGGATCCACCAAACTCCTCCAATCTCTCCTCCAAAATGCTTAAGAAGGATCAAGATGGTCTCTCTCTCTCTCTCTCTCTCTCTCTCTCTCTCTATAATGAAAAGGGCAGGTTAGGGTTTCTCTCTGGGGAAGGTGGCCGCAAAGGGCAGGTTAGGGTTTCCCTCTGGGGAAGGTGGCCGAAAAGGGCAGGTTAGGGTTTCTCTCTGGCGTACTCACGCAGATCCTAAACCCTAATTTTTGGGGTTTGGACCCTATTTAAAGGACCTTAAGTCCTTGAGGCCTCCTTTATCTTCAACCTCCATTCCCCTTTTTTGTGATTTCGAAACCCTAACCTTCTAGAGCTTGTTTTGGATCTTTAAAGTGTTCTTGGAGCATTTTGGAAGAAGGATGAGAACACTATAAAGGATTGTTGGGCTTCTTGCTTGTAGATCCAGAGTTTCCTTCACCTTGGCAAGCTTATAGAGGTATAAAGCTCTCACCTTTATGATTGTTTTGTATAGATCTAGGTTAGTTTGGAGATTTGCATGATTTTGGTCAAATAGTTTTGGTTCTTGTGAGTAAAAGCTACCAAAGAGCTTAGAATTATCATTTCTTGGTGTTTATGAGGTTCTTATGTCATAAAAATTGGATCTTGAGGGTTATATTCCTTCCAGGCATGAATTGTTGGTCATTTTGTGAAGTTATGGACCTAGTGTTTGATTTTGGGCTTTATTAAGCCATGAAAAAAGCTTAAAGTTGTCAACTTTATCAGTTAAGACCTTCCAAAGATTTAGATATGTGAATTGGACGTTTGGACTTTAGGTATTAAGAGCTAGAAAGTGATTTTGGACAATAGAGGGTTATACAGGGCATAACCTCTGTGTACGCATGGCTTAACGGGTTGGCCCCGTATGCCTTTTCTGTGGACACAGAGTACGTAAGGTATAATGTAAGAGTACGCATGATGTACTCCTAGAAGTTCAATTGGTCCATTTTTGCGCCTTGGGCCATGTTTAGTTGGGTCTAGTATGGTAAGGGTAAAATGGTCTTTTACCCTTAGTAAGAGAGAATCTGATTTGTACCTTTAATTATGGGTTATTAGCCTAAATAATAATTAGGGTTAGTTTGGATGTTATCAGTGTGAGGAGCCTTTGTATCAGCAGTGTGTGTGTGTGATTTAGATATCTTTAGTTTGACGTGAGTCTCATCACAGTATTTGTGGATCGAAAACACCAATGTCGGCCCATTGATTTATGTTTATAGGATGCTAGCTGTCTATGTGACTTTTGCATGTATTGTATATGTTTGTATGGATACTGGGTGGGGACCGGTGCTAGGCGGGGCCTGATAAATGTGTTGGGCGGGGCCCATTGTATGTATGGTATGTGACATTTTTGGGGAACTCACTAAACTTGGTGCTTACGGTTTATGTTTAAATGTTTTTCAGGTACTTCCAGTTCAAAAGGGAAGGACCTGACATGATCACATCGCATCCACCAGTGTTCAACATTTTATGATTTTGGGATTGTACTCTGATAACTATTTTTTTTCACATTGTTATACTTTGATAGTTTGAAATGAATGATTGATGACTTTGGTTGACTTAAAAATAATTTTTTTTTGCTTAGTAATTTTTAATATGTTACAATATTTTTATGATTTTGTAAGTAAATGACTAAATGTCCAGTGATTTTATTTGTATGATTAAATAACTATGAGTTTCCTGCATGAGTAAATGTTTCGCAAATTTGTATAATTTTAAGCTTCATGTTTGTTTTTGTGACTGTTGATTGAGAGTCATTAAACTATATGAGTATATTGACTATATATTTTTTTTATCTATTGTTACGTGTGTAGTATTTTAATGTTTTTTGTTATTAAACTTATTGTTTTTGAATGTTTATGTTATAGAATGCTTATATATGAAAAAACATAAGAAAAATAACAAAAAAGAAATATACATTATGTATACAGACTATAACGATGACACATGTCATTGTCATAAATGACTTATAGCGATTACATGTCGTAACTATAGATTGACCTTAGTCGTCGCCATAAGTTAACTTACAAGTTACAACAACAGCCGCTAGCTATACCTTAACTTATAGCCATAACTATGTCGTCGCTATATGTCAATCTATATCCTATAGCTATCCCCTATGACATGTAGTCGTTATAGGTCCCCATACAATGACAACAGGTCGCTGGTGAGTATTATTTTTTTAATTTCTTAAAAGGATATAGTTTCTTATTCTTGCAGTGAGACCATTCTGGAATGTGATGTTCGTTTTTTACGTTGTTGTTTGTTTTTTAGCAGGAATAAGATTCCGTGATGGCAAATGGTAATCGAAAATAGAACGGGAAATTAAAGGTCAACAACGTAATCATGCAAAATTGCAAATCTCCATTCCCTACCATAAATAGACAGAGCTTCCCATTCATTTCTAAATTACAAATTACAACAATGGACGTCGATATCACATTCCTCCTCGTCGCATTCTCTCTCATACTTTCCTTCTACTTCATCCTTAACAAAAAACCCAATGCTTCCAAATCTCTAAACCTCCCACCAGGCCCACCAAAGCTACCCATCATCGGAAACCTCCACCAGATGGCCGGAGCACTGCCACACCATGCATTACGTGACTTAGCTAAGAAATATGGTCCCATCATGCACATGGAACTTGGCCAGGTCTCTACCATCATCGTCTCATCACCTCGTTTTGCCAAAGACGTCTTCAAAACCAATGATCTCGCTCTCGCCAGCCGCCCCTACTCACTACTCGCTGATATTATGTTGTACGGGAGGTCCGATGTTGCTTTTGGCCCTTACGGTGATTACTGGCGACAGATGAAGAAGATCATCACAGTCGAACTCTTAAGTGCCAAAAAGGTTCGAAAGTTTAGTAGTTTCAGGGAGCAAGAAGTTGATCATCTCATCGAGTTCATTCGATCGTCATGTGGAAAGCCTGTAATCTTACGTAACAAGGTAACGAAAATGATCAACAACATCGTATGCAAGTCGTCGTTTGGTGGTAACTGCAAACAACAAGATGTATTGCTCGAATTGGTGGACGAGTTGGGGAGATTGGTGAGTGGGTTTTATGTTGCAGATCTGTTTCCTGAGTTTGGGTTCCTTTCGGTCATTTCTGGATTGAAATCCAAGCTGATGAAGATTCACAAACGTCTTGATAAGATTTTTGATGATATTTTTGACGAACGGAAATTTAAAAGACAAAGTAATGGGGAATCAGAAGGTGATCTTCTTGATGTTCTTTTCACTATCAAAGAGAGCGGTGGCCTACAAATCCCCATCACAGACAACAACATCAAGGCTGTCTTTGAGGTACGCTCGTTGTCTTTATTTTATTTTCATATTTCATGCACGCAACACATTCTATTTGAATACTTTACAATCTTCACTTGAAAGTTAACTTTTTTATTTGACAAATTATATAAAAAATGTAACATATAAAAGATGATAATAACGAAATTAACCGAAGAAAAGGTAAGCTACTTCCAGAAAATATAATTCTTTAGTAATTATATTGGTCCAAATTTTGCTGATATGTTATTATATAGTGATATATATAAGATGGTATTCTATATTAGATCGAAGCTAAATTGGTGTACATTTACATAAATACATCATGCTTAATATAAACACATAAAATTAGTGTATATAAACAAACTCACGGTTATCAATGTCTAGATATACTAAAAAGGTTAACTCTTACGTGATGAACTGATGTACTTAACGTGAAGCCAATGGAGCTTGGAAAAAGTTAACAGTTTTTAGAGACTTCGAGATTTTATCTTTTCACACGTAATTAAAAGGGCAAACATTTAGGGAATTTGTCTATGCTTTAGTGAGATGTCTTTAACTATGTAGAACCCATGGTTGATGCATGTATTACAATAGTTTTTATTTATAAATGATGAAAAAAATTAACAACATAACTACATAAGTAATATGAAATAATCAAACTAAGAAAAGCCACAGTGGTTTTATATTATGCAATATATGGGGCATTTGTTGAGTTCTAACCATTTTCTAATTAATGACACAGAATATTTTTGTTGGAGGCACTGATACAAGTGCTATGACAATCGAATGGGCAATGACAGAATTGATGAGAAACCCCAATGTGATGCAGAAGGCACAAAAAGAAGTGAGAGAAACATTTAAGGGAAAGAAGAAAATTAGTGAAATCGAGTTAGCAGATTTGGTTTACCTGAAATACGTAATCAAAGAAACTCTAAGGCTTCACCCTCCTCTCCCTCTACTACTCCCAAGGGAATGTAGAGAACAATGTCAGATTGATGGTTATGATATACCAGTGAAAATGAAAGTGATTGTCAACGCTTTTGCATGCGCAGTTGATCCTGAATACTGGGATGATGCAGAAAGTTTCAAACCAGAGAGATTTGAAATGTCTTCTATTGATTTCATGGGTACAAACTTTGAGTTTGTTCCATTTGGTTCAGGGAGGAGAATGTGTCCTGGGATTAATTTTGGTTTGACTTCTATCGAGTCTGCTCTTGCTCAAATGTTATACTATTTCAACTGGAAACTTCCTTCTGAATTAATCCCTAAAGATATTGATATGACAGAAAATGATGGAGGTGTTGCAACAAAGAAAGTTCCGTTGATGGTAACGCCAAATCTATATTCTCCATTTTAACAAGAACTTGAAAAAAAATTAAGACAAAAAGTTGTTGAGCGATATGAGTACTGTTGGAGTTAAATCAGAATAAAGAGCAAAGGGCATTTAGGAAACTTTCCTTATTTTAGCATTAGTTTTTATCTGTTCCTCTGTATTGGAATTAGACTAGGTATCAATTTTATTTAGTATAGATAGGAGTAAGCACGTTGATGTTTTCATTTAGTTTTTGGTTCTGATAAGTAATAAAACTTAGAGAGCAAGTTTATTTTACCTACCATTCCCTTGTTCTTCTTCTTCTTTTCCTGTCTATGCTTCTTCTTTTGTCCCTATGTTATACAAATTCCTTGTGCCCAAAGGCATAAACAGAACCTGCAAGTTTACACTTGGTATTAATACCTCCCTTGAAAAACCTTGATCAAACCCATGGAATGTCAGAAAATACATTGTCCATTGTTGTCCATAAACAATTATAAACAATTATGTTGCTTGGGCCATCAAAATAATGGTATTTATGCAAGATCAAGATGTATGGGACTTCATGGAACCAAGAATCCTCAAAACTAAATCGGTGTTAAAGGTCATCTCCAATGCATTGAACTCGAATGAGTTCAATGAATTGATAGAGGTACATTCCATTTACAATACAATTTTACCTATTAAACTCTACACCCCATTAAACTCCATATAATTTAATGAGAAATTAAATATCCTCCTACCATTTCTTCCTACCCAATTAAATGGTGACATGTGCAATATTTAATGTTCATTTAATGAAATTTTAGGATACTAATATGACACATGTCATCATTTAAATGGGTAGGAGGATTGGTAGGAAGAAAAGATAGTAGGATATTTAATTTCTCTAATTTAATAGATTGTCACATCATTTATCATTTTTTTATTTATTGTTATTTTGTAAATAATTAATTAGCATTAAATTAAGAATTAAAAACGAAATTAAAAATAACATTAATTAAAAATTAAAAATTTGAAACAAAAAATAATA